AAACCGTACGGTTGACACTACAACCGTTCCGATGGGTTGTTCAATTCCATCTAGGTTGTGAACCAATGATTCTTGTTTCGCAAGTAACTGATATAGTTATCTTCGGTATGCCCGATGACGACCCACTTATCTACATGCAAAACAACAGAACGTGGAACTTATTTCACCAAACATAATTCTCATTCATCAAGGAATAACAAGTGTAATATCCACTAAAGCAAAGCTTAAGTATATAACACCAACATTGAGGCCCTATGCCTCGAGGCATGCGGCGAGGGGCGCGAGACCCCAGTCCTCGAGGAGTGCGGCAACCCGGGGGACCACGTGCGCGCTGGTAGAGTGGGAGGCGTAGGCGTGCGCAACATGCCTGGTGACGGAGCACACGCGAAAGACGGCACCATAGTCCTGGAGGACTAGGGCGAGGTGCAAAGGCGGCGCATGGGTAGGGCTGTCGCATGAGAGGCCGAGAGAGAGAGAGAGAGGATTACTTGGATTGCAAGCCAAGTTATTTAGTTCCCTTATTCCATCATGATTTCCAGCTTAATTAAGATTTCTAATATTTTATTGCTTTATTAGTTCCCTAAGTAGATTAGGACTAGATATATTTTGTGCCTATATAAAGGCCCCTTCCCCATGTTATTTTTCATCATCGAAATTATCAATAAAAAATCCGAACTTTTGTTCAAACACTTTGTCTTAGATTTCTTCTTGATTTCCATTGCAATTTTATTCGTTCAGAGGGGTACGGTTTGTGAACCTCTAGGCAACTATCGACGATTCAAGGCACTGGTTTGTGGCTTATCGGCAGTTGGGACATGTGATCTTCATCATTGGTGCTTTCATTGAGAGGTCTTAGATCGTGTGTCTTTTTCCCTATCCCTTCCCTCTTCTTTTTCCTTTCGTTTTCTCGTCCCCTTATCAAAAAGAAAAGAAAATCTTCAAAACGAGTCCAAGAAGCAAAGAGCGTAAGCAAGAGAAGAAAGCAATGGCTAACAAGGAGATGAAACAAGATCAATAATCTCGATGTTCAAGTCCGGAGCATGAGCAAAGTTATGGAAGGAAGGCTCGGATTGCTAGACGAAGGTCAAAGCAACACTAATGCTGCCATGGCCCGGCTTGAACAGCGACTGGACGAGGTGCTGCGTGCATTCCAGCGGCAGCAGCAGCAACGCGACGTACCGCCGCAGCCACCGTCTTCTAGGCGCGATGAAAGGCGCGCGCACGAGCAGCCACACGAGGAGTACGAGCGCGATCAAGAGAAGGAATCGATCAGCAGTCTCAAGCGTCCAACTATCGAGATCGACCAAGGGCCGACAAACCGCGACCCATACTGTCCACGTTCAACGGCACCGATCCGAAGGCTTGGCTCAACTGCGTTGTTCAATACTTCGAGCTCAATGAAACCGATGGCCATGATCGAGTAAGGTATGCAGCATACTATCTTGATGGCGAGGCTATTTTATGGTGGCAATGGCTCACAAGCGTTTACCGCAACCGACAGCGAGTCATCACATGGGGCGATTTTGAGCGAGAGTTACTCACACGCTTTGGTACATCCGACTATCACAATTATGATGAGGCGCTGACTCGTATAAGGCCGACAGGTAATTTACGTGATTATCTGAAGGAGTTTGAGCGTTTAGCATGTCGAGTACAGGGCTGGCCCGAAACTGCATTAGTAGGAGCATTCATAGGCGGTCTGAAGTATGATCTTGCGGCTGAGGTACGTCTGGAGCGACCAGAGACCATGCACGCCTCTATGGAAGTCGCCCGACGACGCGAGGACCACCTAGCGGCCACGCGAAGGGGACGGGCGGACATCTGCTTCACCGACACATGCCGCGCAGGCCCGAGCCAACCGACCGCGGGCACACGACCGGCCATCAGCGCTCGACCACTGGGGCCAGTAGTCAAGAAACTTACACTTGAGGAGATCAAACGCCGACGTGAAAAAGGTCTTTGTTTCAAGTGTGAAGAAAAATTCATGCCAGGTCATCGATGCAAGCAGGCTTTTGTCATAGAGGTCACCAACTCCGATGAGGAAGAGACTGAGGTTGAGGAAGAACCGGAGCCAATGGCGACGTTGAAGCATTCGATGAGGAAGCTGAAATCTCGATGCATGCAATGGCTGGGATCAGAG